AAGAGGCACCATTGATCATCATAACAATACATTTAGCAGTTGCTTAGTTTGTTTACTTAGTACCCATAGGCAGGGTGGGGGAACAAAAAATGCATTTCAAGTAATCAGTAATATTCAGCAATAATCAGTAATGCCCCTATCACACATGAACCCCTGACCCTTAGGCCTAGATCCACACATTGCACAATTTTTGAAAAGGCACCCTTCCTTTTCAAAAATATTTGATTAATACCAAGGAGCAGATCTCAAACAATTCATCCAGTTTCAGTATATAAGTACACAAACCCCCTTTGGTACCCCTGACCCTGGGGCCTTGAAATTCACAATTCTGGAAGATTAGGGTCCTTGCTCATCATAACTACATAGGTAGTTCATCTGCTTAATACCCAAGAGCAGAGAAGAAAATTTTCAAAGATTTAATGTATTTTCACTATATAATCAATAGAGCCCCGCCCTATCACTAGAACCCCTGACCCTAGGGCCATAAAATCAAAATTTTGGAAGAGGTATTCTTGCTCATCATAACTATGTACTTAGTTTATTTAATTCCTAGGAGCAGAAAAGAAATTTTTTCAAAGAATTCATGCATTTTCATTATATAATCAATAGAGCCCCACCCTAACACCCGAACCCTGACCCTGGGGCCATAAAATTCACAATTTTGGTAGAGGCACTCTTGCACATCATAACTATGCACTTAGTTAGTTTATTTAATACCCAGGAGCAGAGAAGAAGATTTTCAAAGAATTCATATAATTTCACTATATAATCTATAGAGCCCCACCCTAGCACCAGAACCCCTGACCCTGGGGCCATAAAATTCACAATTTTGGTACAGGCACTCTTGCTCATCATAACTATGCACTTAGCTAGTTTATTTAATACCAAGGAGCAGAGAAGAAGATTTTCAAAGAATTCATGTAATTTCACTACATAATCTATAGAGCCCCACCCTAGCACCAGAACCCCTGACCCTGGGGCCATAAAATTCAAAATTTTGGTAGAGATACTCTTGCTCATCATAACTATGCACTTAGTTAGTTTATTTAATACCCAGGAGCAGAGAAGAAGATTTTCAAAGAATTCATGAATTTTCACTATATAATCTATAGAGCCCCGCCCTAACACCAGAACCCCTGACCCTGGGGCCATAAAATTCACAATTTTGGTAGAGGCACTCTTGCTCATCATAACTATGCACTTAGTTAGTTTATTTAATACCCAGGAGCAGAGAAGAAGATTTTCAAAGAATTCATATAATTTCACTATATAATCTATAGAGCCCCACCCTAGCACCAGAACCCCTGACCCTGGGGCCATAAAATTCACAATTTTGGTACAGGCACTCTTGCTCATCATAACTATGCACTTAGCTAGTTTATTTAATACCCAGGAGCAGAGAAGAAGATTTTCAAAGAATTCATGTAATTTCACTATATAATCTATAGAGCCCCACCCTAGCACCAGAACCCCTGACCCTGGGGCCATAAAATTCAAAATTTTGGTAGAGATACTCTTGCTCATCATAACTATGCACTTAGTTAGTTTATTTAATACCCAGGAGCAGAGAAGAAGATTTTCAAAGAATTCATGAATTTTCACTATATAATCTATAGAGCCCCGCCCTAACACCAGAACCCCTGACCCTGGGGCCATAAAATTCACAATTTTGGTAGAGGCACTCTTGCTCATCATAACTATGCACTTAGTTAGTTTATTTAATACCCAGGAGCAGAGAAGAAGATTTTCAAAGAAATAATGCATTTTCATTATATACTTATTTAGCCCCGCCCTAGCAATAGAATCCCTGACCCCAGGGCCATGAATTTCACAATTTTGGTAGAGGACTCAATGCTGATTACAATCATGCAAACAGTTTGACTACTTGATGTCCAGGAGTAAAGGAGAAGATTTTTAAAGATTGCATTAATTTTAGTGGGTTTTGCCCCACCCAAAAGGCCCCAGGGGGGAGGGGACCACAAAATTAACAATTTTTGTTCCTCTTCACCCATAGATGCTTTGTGCCAAATTTGGTTGAAATTGGTTCAGTAGTTGCAGAGAAGAAGCTGAAAATGTTCAAATGTTAACGGACAACGCACAACGCACGACGACGGACAAAAACAGATAGCAATAGGTCACCTGAGTTTACTCAGGTGACCTAAAAAGTAGGTCACTGTGACCTATTTTTGTGTTAACATGATGTGAAGTCCTAAGATGCATCAACTTACAAGATTTGATGATTCTAGTCTTTTTAGTAAGCAAAATATCAACGTTTTTATTAAGTGTAAATTTTTGTTAACTTTGAACTGACCTTGAGACCACGCCCTTTGCCCCAGGGTCAAGCCTTGAACAATTTCTAATCTTCAACATATCAAGACCCTTGTATGTAAGTTTGGTGAAAATCTGCCTAGGGGCTCTGGAGAAGAAGATTTTTTAGCAACCAGTACTTTTGGTTTCATTTTCCTGATTATCTCCCCTTATTTTAGGGTCACAACCCTAGTTTTAGTATAAAAGGTAGCCCTTGAGCCAAGGATACCCTGTGACAAATTTGACAATGATTGGCCAAGCGGTTCTTGAATTATGGCCCATATTCTAAAAAGTTAACGCACACCGCACGACGCACACCGCACAAATGGCCAGAGCATTAGCTCTTTGAGCCTTTGGCTCAGAAGAGCTAAAAATCTGTATCTAAAATTACTCGAAAAAATGTCATTGTGTTTTTATGAAAAATGAGACGTAATCAAATTCTATTTATTCAATGCAATATCATAAATCTGGAATTGAATTTTTAAACTCACTGATTTATTTAGTTTTGCTCCTTGCCCAAGATTAGCACATATCGTTTCGTGGTCGAATTCCACTTTCCACTCGGTGGACAGAGTTTTGATGCTGTTTACGGAGATGAATGAAAACAAACGCATACATGCCGTATATGGTTGTGTAGAAAAATTATCATAGAAGACAATGGTAATAAAATGTTTGTCAGTGCATTTCATCTGAAAGTGTAAATGAGTGCGTTTCTGAGGAGTGGGGTAGTGAGTGTAATTCGGAGTTAAATACCTTGTGTTATTATTATACTATGGATTAAAAAATTATTTCTGAAACAAGTGCCTGTGCCTTGGGGGTCATGATTTGAATAAACTTTAATCTACACTACCTGAGGATGCTTCCACATGAGTTTCATCTTTCCTGGTTCAATGGTTTTGGATAAAAAGATTTTTAAAGGTTTTTCCTATGTATTCCTATGCACAACTTTGATCAGACATTGTGAGCCCATCCGATCCTCAGGGGTCATGATTTGGGTAAACTTTAATCTACACTACCTAAGAATGCTTCCACATGAGTTTCATCTTTCATGGCCAAATGGTTCAAGAGAAGAAGATTTTTAAAAGATGTCATTAATTTTTCATTAATTCATAATTATCTCCCCTTGGAAGAGGGCTTGGCAATTCATTTGAACAAATTTGAATCCCCTTCACCCAAGGATACTTTGTGGCAAGTGTGGTTGAAACTGGACTAGTGGTTCTTGAGAAGAAGATGAAAATGTGAAAAGTTTACAACGCCAACGACAGACAATGGACAAATTTTGATCAGAAAAGCTCACTTGTTGCTTAGGCTCAGGTGAGCTAAAAGCAATGTAAGATGTTCATTTTTTTTCACTAACACAATGTACAAATGCACCACTGCATGCAGTGTTATATATATATTTACTCATTTCAAGAAACTCTTGAAAATTTTAGAATTTCGGCAATCCCTAGAAGATAAATGTTGAACTTGGTAAAAAGTAAAGAGTCTGATTGTCTCCATTCATCCACATTTTTGTCCCCCACTTTCACTGAAAGTGGGGGATATTAATTTGGGTCTGTCTGTCCATCCATCTCTCTGTCTGTAACCATTCCATTTCTGCATAATATCTTGAGAACCCTTTGAGCTTTTGCAGTACAATTTTGTATGGCAACTCCCTACAGCCTAAAGAAGAATCATATTGATTTTGTGGTCAAAAGGTAAAAGGTCAAGGTCATAATTTCTGTCTGTTTTGACACTTTTGTTCTTGAGTGATATCTTGAGAATCCTTTGAGCTTTTGCAATGAAATATTAAATAACAACTCTCTGTGGCCTACGGAAGACCCCTACTGATTTTGAGATCAAAAGGTCACAGTTCAAAGTTGTAAATTTATACATTCAGCCTGTGAGTAACACTTTCATTTCCGGGTGATATCTCAAGAAGATTTTGAACTTCTGCAATGAAATTTTATACCAAAACTCCCTAAGGCCTCTGTCTCACACCTCTCTCAAAGTGTCCCCTTATTTATTTTATAAGTATTTATTGTATTAAATGTCGCTTTTTTTAGCACAAGGCATGTGGAGATGTGGAGTTATTACGTATAATACATGTTCTTGGCGGACTTTATATATTCTTATTACATCTATTAGAACTGTTTAATAAAGATTAAATTAGACTCCATGCATTGTATAAAAATTTGAGAATATCGAACGTGAATATATACATGTATGTGACCTAATGTTTGCATACAATTTACAAAACAAGAAAGCGTCTCCGTGGTGTAGGGGTATGTCTATTGTTTACCATGTGAGAGGTCCCAGGTTCAAATCCAAGATGATCCCTTTTTTTTTTTTTAAATACTTTTTTTTAGCTAAAGGATAGTATTCAGCATAAATGAAAAAGTTATGATGATAGGCTTATACAACCTCATAAAAACATTATAAAGTGTGATAAATATTCTAAATATTAAAAAGAATCTTCCATACACATAGTAAATAAGCAATCAAATCTTCATATCCATAACAGTATTTCTTATTTGCTTCAATAAACATGTATACTTTTAATAATTCTACAAATTCGGGGGGGTGGGGGGGTGGGGGGGGGGTGGGGGGTTGGTCGATTTAGTAGTTTCTATCCAAGATACACAGGTCGTGCAAATTTCATCAAAATAAGAGACATCAAAATTCTTATTGTTTTTCACAATAAATACACTTACATAGTAAGCATGCTTCAATTTTTTTGCTTCTTCATCTGCATCTGGGGGTGGATCAGGACATTTCCTTTGTAAATATTCAAAATGATTGAATTTAAATCAAATTATCATAGATATTTGATTAAATTTCATTTCTCAATGTAAAAAAATCTTGAAACCTCATGCGAAAAAGTTTTAATCTTTGCTAAACTCTGCACACTCAGTTTCTAAAATCTTCAGTAAAACTTGGAGTACTTACTTGGCTACATGATCAACCAGACCAGCAAGAACCACCTGTCTGAGAAGTTTGGCCTGCAAATCACTTGGGGGATCCAATTTGGGGTTTACACACAAGTTGGCATCAGAAATAATTGCATTCACTTGAGAAAAATTGAATAATAAAGTTAAAAAATGTGAAGAGGAACTTTACTCTGTATAATTCTAAAACATGTTTTTTTTATGAAATTAAATTGACGGGTTAAGGCCATTCTATTTTTTTTTAAAGCAATTAGGATGCTTTATGATAAGTTTGATTGAAATTAATCCAGTGGTTCTGGAAAAGAATTTTGAAAACGTGACACAGACCTGTTTATCCATATCGTCTTCTCTCAGTATTTTTGATTAGATTTATCCATGAGATTTGGCAATTGCCAGTAAGATTTAACTTTTCATCTTTTACTTATTTTAAAAATGAACAACTGCTTTTCTGATTACTAAAACTTGGTTTAACAACATGGTCTTTGTCATTTTATGATAGCGTAGTGTTTTGGCAACCCAACATCACTTAAGTGTTTGAAATATTTCTCTTTTTTAGTGATTCAAAAGCATGAAACGAAGACAGATCATAAAGAAAACTAACTTCTAATTCCAAACGAACATACAGACCCTAAACCGTGCTACTACACCACTTGCACGGTACGGTTCGGTACGTTTTGTGAACGGAACGGTTCGCTTTGTGAACGGTACGGTACGCTTTGTGCACGGAACGGTTCACTTTGTGCACGGAACATTATGCTTTGTGGACGGTACGGTTCGCTTCTTGCACGGAACGGTACGCTTTGTGGACGGTACGGTACGCTTTGTGGACGGTACGGTTCGCTTTGTGGACGGTACGGTTCGCTTCTTGCACGGAACGGTACGCTTTGTGGACGATACGCTTTGGGAAACGGTATGCAAATGAAGTGGGCGGAGCCTGTTAGCTTTGGTTCTTGATTGGCTGCTAATTTTACAATTTTATTTCCGTTATTACAGAATGTAATTTATTTATTATTCATATCAATTGAAGTATCAATGAGTTTCTATTTATTAGAGAAGTTTAAATGTTTTATTACATGTATGTTATTGTGTCGATCATAGTCTTGTATGCTATGTCTCGGTTTCAATTTTAAATATTAATTTACACTGCAGCAGTGATGGAGGAAACAAGAAAAAAATGAAAGGAAATAAACATCGTCCCACTGATCTTTTTCGCATTTGTAAATATATTGATATTTAGAAGGTAAATATTTCCGTGCGTATTTTTTTTACCTATGCCGAGGCTGCGTTTTAAATAGAAAAAATATATACATGTACATAATATTTTTTTTTTTCATTTTAAAATAAAGCTTTAAAAGAACTGAATATATACTTGTTCTTTATATAATACTACACACATAAATTATTTTTAATTGATTGATCTATAGAAAAAAATATGACTAGGCCTATTCGCGCTTATATTTTTATTCTTAGTAATAAGAAATGTACATTGTTTCTTATTTTTAAAATTGTAGATCTGTCGTTTAAACGTCTGCCTTAGAAGAGAAATATCAGTAGACAAAAACAAATTACATGTAATTAATAAAAAAAATTAAAGAAAAAGGGTATAAAAATAATTTACAGGGCATAGAAGACTTGTTTATCTGTTTTTTTTTTTTCTTTTTTTCTTATGTAAATCTTTAATTATTCTGAAAATCTTTGATTATTCTGAATTTAGATACGAAAATCGGCAGCAGAAACTCGGAATCAATAAAATGACTTCCGGGCGTTTTTCTCGTAACAGAAAACATTTCTTTTCAATAACTAGCATTATGTTTTCAAAAATTCTCTCAGTCTAAGTAATTATTTTAATAAGTTTTTCTTTATTTTATTGAGTAAATAAGTGTGTAAATACATGTATAATGTTGTGAATGAGAGAGAGAGAGAGAGAGAGAGAGAGAGAGAGATGTTTCTTAATCTGTAAAAAAAAAATGTATTTATTCTCATTCTCCGTTTTATTTACATCGCCAAAGTCACATTTAATCAGTCTATGATGCTATTTAATTTCCACAACTTTCGTTCAAACTCAACCTATTTACAACTATTGCGCAATGCATTTGTTCTCAGGCACATGCACGAAATCCTTGTGCATCACTTGTCAGTCAAAATCGCATGACGCTAGGTGACCCTGAGAGTCTGTTTACGCGGAAAGAATTTCTCTTGTGATTTGAAACATTCTTATGGTCAGTTCACACCTGTTTAAAAAATATTGGGTCACAGCCAGAGGGCCGGGATGCCGTGTGTTTAACACACCTTTCAAATTATTTAGTTCTGACCACATCAAGTGTACATGCATTTTTAAAACTCACTCAACTGACATCCAGCGAAACTCATCTTCCAGGTTTCACCACAACATTGATTAGAATTTTTCTTCCTAAAACATCCATTTCAGACGCAATTAGATTTATTAAGCATGAATCCCTTAATTATCATTTTACTTTTTAAAAAAAATGTACAATAGCCTCACATAAATTCGCAGACTTTTGATGAGTTTTTAGTAGCTAATTAGTATCGCCTTCTAAAAAGGGGGGGGGGGGGGGTATCAAACAAAATGTGGCTTGAAAGAGGATTGAGAAAAATCATTGTCTTTTTTATTTTCATTTTATTTTTGTAAATTATCCTTTTCCAGACACAAATAAGCAGGTGTCCTGTAGATTATGATTTTTTTTTAAATTTACAGCAACGTAACATTTTGCACACTTCTAAAGAACTTATTACCTGCTAATTCGTATCGTTTTCATGAAAGGGGATGGGGGTACAGTGTAACAAACCTTATAATATCTATAATTTTTCGCAAATTGTTTTTTTTTTGTATGCAGCTTGTAAGTTGATCACAATTTTATTAGTCAGATTATCATCTCTATCCGTTCAGTAGAAATCTTCCTATTTACTGCATGTAATACATGTATTTTAATCCATGTTTGACATAATTACCGATTTTCAGTGTAAGTTTAATTGCATCAATGATTCGCCGAGTAATTATCTGAGCAGAATTAATGTGCGAGTCTAATACTTTTTTTTTAACTCTAGACAGTTCATATATGTTTTAAAATTCTTACAGAATTAATGATTAATTAGTAAAATCACGCATCTGATATGAACTAGATATGAATGCACACTTACGGTAAAAAGGATCACGTATCTGATTCAATGATTTAAATGGGCAAAATTAAAATCTTAAGTCAAGAAAACCAGGAAATTAGTTTAAACATCTGTATAGTTTAATTACAAATATTTAAGTACAACAAATATTTCAAAAAGAAGTTGATTTAATTTGCTCAAATAAAGAAAATGAAAATATTTATTATCAGATCCGTAATGGGGAACTGTGATACACCTTGTTACATAGTGTCCATGATCGCTGACATCAAGGATGCCGACATCGAGTTCGAGGTTCACGGTGCCATGTGTTTTGCGGGAAAAACCCGTGGTCTGTACTGTACCTTTGATCACAAACACAACGAGTTGATCTAATTTATAGCATATAAGGAATTGTCTCAAACTCTGTCTAGTTGTTTTGAAGTTGTTTATTTCGAGTAGTTTCCTTTATTTTCACAGTTGAAAGCCCAGATGCATGATACTTGATAAAGATGTTTCGAACAGCCAGACATAAACTCCCTCCTCTTTTCACGGGCGCTATTGCGAAAAATAAACCAAAATGACTTATTTGGTCATTGCCCAGTTCAAAAATCATTGGGGGCGTGGTTTGCATAATTAACCAAAGAACGGTACGGTTTGTTTCTTGCACGGAACGGTACGCTTTGTGGACGGTACGGTACGCTTTGTGCACGGAACGGTTCGCTTTGTGGATGGAACGGTACGCTTTGAGCACGGAACAGTTCGCTTTGTGGACGGTACGGTACGCTTTATGAACGGAACGGTTCGCTTTGTGCACGGAACGGTTCGCTTTGTTCACGGTACGGTACGCTTTGTGCACGGAACGGTACGGTTCGTTTCTGAGGTGTAGTAGCACGGTTTAGGGTCTGTATTTCCGATTTCAATATTTTCTTCATAGCAAAATGTGAGATGTATTTTAAACTAAAAATCCCTACAAAATACTGTGAATTCGTAAGAGTAAACAGGTCTGGTGACAAGTTTACAGATTGACAGACAGATCTAGAGGAACTGTGAACACTGAGCAGCAAATGATACCCACTGTCTTCAATATGATTATAATGGCAGTGTCAAAGATTTGCTCTGGGGCACACGAAATATGTGTCGGATCAAAAAGTAAAATAAAAGATCCACAATGGCTTTAAGTAACAAAGATTAAGTAAAAGTTTCATTAAATTTCATTCAGATGTGTAGGTGGAGTTTAGTCTAGTCATTCTACTGAAAAATGAGAACTAATTGCAACAGTATATATTTTAATGCAGGTTTATAGATAAACTATTGGTAACTCACATATAAAAAGTTTAGAAAAAATCACTCAGGGGAAAGTTGGGAAATCGAAAGATTAAAATTTGGGATCAAAATGAATTTAGAATGACCCATTTACACACCGTACTTTCTCTATATGAGCTTCCTATGACAGACAACCTGTAAACAATAGCCAATTAGCAATAAAGAATATTTGTTTAAATTTATTTTTAAAAAGAAAATAATTATTTTGTATTGTGGGGTGGATCGTGTACTTGTGCAAAATCTCAAAATTCATGTAAACAAAAAAGTATGGAACGCTGTTTGTATTCACAATATACATGTATGTGAAATTCCTAAGTGAGAATGTGTTTATTTTCTTTTTTATTTTATTTGTAAACACCTGGATGGACATTTATACCCCAGTAGTTTTGGGTTTTTATACACAATAAATAAATATTAACAAAAAATGTATAGAACATAGTTTGTATACAAAATAAATAAAAACAGCCTTTTCTCAAGAATTCTTATCAGACAAGTACAATGTATATCAGAGTTGTTACAATTGCATCATCACAGAATATATTTTGATTAAATATCTAGAAAATATAGAGAAATCTATCATTTTCAAATAAAGAGTGAAGAAGTTTATGGAATCAAATGAACAGAATTTGATTTGAAGGTACCCAAGTTAAAAAAAATCAAATATTTAATTCCATTCAGGCAT